TACAAGTTGTCCAGGAGAGACAACATTATACCAATTTGGGCAGAAGAGACACCATTATACAAGTTCGCCAGAAGAGACGCCATTATACAAATTGTCCAGGAGAGACACCATTATACAAATTGTCCAGAAGAGACACCATTATACAAGTTCGCCAGAAGAGACGCCATTATACAAATTGTCCAGCAGAAACAACATTATACAAGTTGGCCAGAAGAGACACCATTATACAAGTTGGCCAGAAGAGACACCTTTATACAAGTTGGCCAGAAGAGACAACATTATACAAGTTGGCCAGAAGAGACCCATTGATACAAGTTGGCCAGGAGAGACACCATTATACAAGTTGGCCAGGAGAGACACCATTTTAAAGGTTGTCCAGGAGAGACACCATTATACAAGTTGGCAAGAAGAGACCCCTTTACACAAGTTGGCAAAAAGAGACACCGTTATACAAGTGGGGCAGGAGAGACACCATTATACAAGTTGGCCAGGAGAGACACCTTTATACAAGTTATCTAGGAGAGACACCGTTATACAAGTTGCCCAGGAGAGACACCATTATCGGGTTGGCCACGAGAGACACCATTATACAAGTTGGCCAGGAGAGACACCATTATACAAGTTGGCCAGGAGAGACACCATTACAAGTTTGCCAGGAGAGACACCATTATACAAGTTGGCCAGAAGAGACACCTTTAAAGAAGTTGTCTAGGAGAGACACCGTTATACAAGTTGTCCAGGAGAGACACCATTATACAAGTTGCCAGAAGAGACACCATTATACAAGTTGGCCAGGAGAGACACCATTATACAAGTTGGCCAGGAGAGACACCATTATACAAGTTGCCAGAAGATACACCATTATACAAGTTGGCCAGAAGAGACACCTTTATACAAGTTGGCAAGGAGAGACACAATTTTACAAGTTATCCATTGGAGACACCATTATACAAGTTGGCCAAAATAGACACCTTTATACAAGTTGTCCAGGAGAGACACCATTTTAAAGGTTGTCCAGGAGAGACACCATTATACAAGTTGGCAAGAAGAGACCCCTTTACACAAGTTGGCAAAAAGAGACACCGTTATACAAGTGGGGCAGGAGAGACACCATTATACAAGTTGCCAGAAGATACACCATTATACAAGTTGGCCAGAAGAGACACCTTTATACAAGTTGGCAAGGAGAGACACAATTTTACAAGTTATCCAATGGAGACACCATTATACAAGTTGGCCAAAATAGACACCGTTATACAAGTTGGCAAGGAGAGACACCATTTTACAAGCTATCCAGGGGAGACACCATTATACAAGTTGGCCAAAATAGACACCTTTATGGAAGTTGTCCAGGAGAGACACCATTATATAAGTTGGCCAGGAGAGACACCATTACACAAGTTGTCCAGGAGAGACACCATTATACAAGTTGGCAAGAAGAGACACCTTTATACAAGTTGGCCAGAAGAGACACCGTTATACAAGTTGTCCAGGAGAGACACAATTATACAAGTTGTCCAGGAGAGACACCATTATATAAGTTGGCCAGGAGGGACACAATTATACAAGTTTGCCAGGAGAGACACCATTATACAAGTTGGCCAGGAGAGACACCATTATACAAGTTGGCCAGGAGAGACACCATTATACAAGTTGCCAGAAGATACACCATTATACAAGTTGGCAAGAAGAGACACCTTTATACAATTTGGCCAGGAGAGACGCCTTTATACAAGTTGGCAAGGAGAGACATCATTTTCCAAGTTGTCCAGGAGATACACCATTATACAAGTTGGCCAGAAGAGACACCGTTATACAAGTGGGGCAGGAGAGACACCATTATACAAGTTGTCCAGGAGAGACACCATTATACAAGTTGGCCAGAAGAGACACCTTTATACAAGTTGGCCAGAAGAGACGCCTTTATACAAGTTGGCCAGGAGAGACACCATTTTCCAAGTTGGCCAGGAGAGACACCATTTTCCAAGTTGGCCAGGAGAGACACCGTTATACAAGTGGGGCAGGAGAGACACCATTTTCCAAGTTGGCCAGAAGAGACACCGTTACACAAGTGGGGCAGGAGAGACACTATTATACAAGTTGGCCAGGAGAGTCACCATTATACAAGTTGTCCAGGAGAGACACCATTATACAAGTTGGCAAGAAGAGACACCTTTATACAAGTTGGCCAGAAGAGACGCCTTTATACAAGTTGGCCAGGAGAGACACCATTTTCCAAGTTGGCCAGGAGAGACACCATTTTCCAAGTTGGCCAGGAGAGTCACCGTTATACAAGTGGGGAAGGAGAGACACCATTTTCCAAGTTGGCCAGAAGAGACACCGTTATACAAGTGGGGCAGGAGAGACACTATTATACAAGTTGGCCAGGAGAGTCACCATTATACAAGTTGTCCAGGAGAGACAACATTATACAAGTTGCCAGAAGATACACCATTATACAAGTTCGCCAGAAGAGACACCATTATACAAGTTGTCCAGGAGAGACAACATTATACCAATTTGGGCAGAAGAGACACCATTATACAAGTTGTCCAGGAGAGACAACATTATACCAATTTGGGCAGAAGAGACACCATTATACAAGTTCGCCAGAAGAGACACCATTATACAAGTTGTCCAGGAGAGACAACATTATACCAATTTGGGCAGAAGAGACACCATTATACAAGTTCGCCAGAAGAGACGCCATTATACAAATTGTCCAGGAGAGACACCATTATACAAATTGTCCAGAAGAGACACCATTATACAAGTTCGCCAGAAGAGACGCCATTATACAAATTGTCCAGCAGAAACAACATTATACAAGTTGGCCAGAAGAGACACCATTATACAAGTTGGCCAGAAGAGACACCTTTATACAAGTTGGCCAGAAGAGACAACATTATACAAGTTGGCCAGAAGAGACCCATTGATACAAGTTGGCCAGGAGAGACACCATTATACAAGTTGGCCAGGAGAGACACCATTTTAAAGGTTGTCCAGGAGAGACACCATTATACAAGTTGGCAAGAAGAGACCCCTTTACACAAGTTGGCAAAAAGAGACACCGTTATACAAGTGGGGCAGGAGAGACACCATTATACAAGTTGGCCAGGAGAGACACCTTTATACAAGTTATCTAGGAGAGACACCGTTATACAAGTTGCCCAGGAGAGACACCATTATCGGGTTGGCCACGAGAGACACCATTATACAAGTTGGCCAGGAGAGACACCATTATACAAGTTGGCCAGGAGAGACACCATTACAAGTTTGCCAGGAGAGACACCATTATACAAGTTGGCCAGAAGAGACACCTTTAAAGAAGTTGTCTAGGAGAGACACCGTTATACAAGTTGTCCAGGAGAGACACCATTATACAAGTTGCCAGAAGAGACACCATTATACAAGTTGGCCAGGAGAGACACCATTATACAAGTTGGCCAGGAGAGACACCATTATACAAGTTGCCAGAAGATACACCATTATACAAGTTGGCCAGAAGAGACACCTTTATACAAGTTGGCAAGGAGAGACACAATTTTACAAGTTATCCAATGGAGACACCATTATACAAGTTGGCCAAAATAGACACCTTTATACAAGTTGTCCAGGAGAGACACCATTTTAAAGGTTGTCCAGGAGAGACACCATTATACAAGTTGGCAAGAAGAGACCCCTTTACACAAGTTGGCAAAAAGAGACACCGTTATACAAGTGGGGCAGGAGAGACACCATTATACAAGTTGCCAGAAGATACACCATTATACAAGTTGGCCAGAAGAGACACCTTTATACAAGTTGGCAAGGAGAGACACAATTTTACAAGTTATCCAATGGAGACACCATTATACAAGTTGGCCAAAATAGACACCGTTATACAAGTTGGCAAGGAGAGACACCATTTTACAAGCTATCCAGGGGAGACACCATTATACAAGTTGGCCAAAATAGACACCTTTATGGAAGTTGTCCAGGAGAGACACCATTATATAAGTTGGCCAGGAGAGACACCATTACACAAGTTGTCCAGGAGAGACACCATTATACAAGTTGGCAAGAAGAGACACCTTTATACAAGTTGGCCAGAAGAGACACCGTTATACAAGTTGTCCAGGAGAGACACAATTATACAAGTTGTCCAGGAGAGACACCATTATATAAGTTGGCCAGGAGGGACACAATTATACAAGTTTGCCAGGAGAGACACCATTATACAAGTTGGCCAGAAGAGACACCATTATACAAGTTGGCCAGAAGAGACATCATTATAGTAGTTGGCCAGAAGAGACACCATTATACAAGTTGTCATGGAGAGACACCATTATACAAGTTGGCCAGGAGAGACACCATTATACAAGTTGGGCAGTAGATTCACCATAACAGAACTTGGCCAGAAGAGACACCATTATACAAGTTGGCCAGGAGAGACACCATTATACAAGTTGCCAGAAGAGACACCATTATACAAGTGGGCCAGGAGAGACAACATTATACAAATTGTTCAGGAGAGACACCATTATACAACTTGGCCAGGAGAGACACCATTATACAAATTGGGCAGAAGAGACACCATTATACAAGTTGGGCAGTAGAGACATCATTATAAAAGGTTGGCAGTATTGACACACTTATTATAAAGGTTGACCAGTGGAGACCCCGTAAAACAAATTGGATAGTTGGGCATGACGCTGTATCTCACACATCATATGCAAGTTTGGAGACATTGAGCTCAATCCACGATGGCATGCACATGCATCAGTCCACAACAACCTCTGCCCTGAACAAAACAAATAGGATTATATTCAAGTTATATCAGGGCAGGGCGACACCAGAATTAGGCTTCGCATGCTGTACTCATTTGAGGCATCGAACCCGGGCCTTCAGCGTGACAGACCCACTCTTTAACAACTCGGCCACTTTACTGCGCCTTCTGAAATAAAGTGAGCAGTGATAAGAGCCTTTTCGACTCCATACATGTGTGGTAGGCAGCTGAATAAGTTCTGGGGCACGCTCGTCAGCACAGATTCTTTGAGTCTTTTTGTATCTTTTTATCTATGAGTGTGAGAAACATGTGGTATGACTGACCCTGTTTCTCACGAAGACTTACTGACGTTATACATCCAACTCATGCACGATGTAAGTTTATGCGTCTTACAGTTTGATATTGCAAATCCAACAAACGTTCCCATTTCTCATGAAATGTTAAACAACTATTTATTCGGAGGAATGACAACATGAGAAGTAAATGCGAACTATAGCGACATTAACGTTTGCTCTTCACAGTCACCCGCCTCTAACTTGTAGCTGTTGACCCATGTTTGTATTTGTCGTATGCTGATGGCTATTTTCAGGTTGCCAGGGCTGCTACCAAGTGTCCTGTGCATACTATCCGCCCTGACACTCGCATCTTGCCGGCGGGAACAAAGTAAGCCTTTCCCCATGTGTCAGACTCTAATTAGGAACATGGCACATCTATCGCAGGAAATTGAAATGAAAACAATTAATAATGTCTTTTGTGTAAGCATATCCTGCCATGGTCTTAGCTGTCCGGCAGTCTTTTGTGTAAGCATATCCTGCCGTGGTAACTACCCGACAGTCTTTTGCGAGAGCATATCCTGTAACCATGGCCACACCCGGTAGTCTTTTGCCTGAGCATATCCTGTAACCATGGCAACACCCGGTAGTCTTTTGCGTGAGCATATCCTGTCACCGTGGCAACACCCGGTAGTCTTTTGTGTGAGCATATCCTGCCATGATGGTAACTACCCAACAGTTTTTTGCTTGAGCATATCCTGTAACCGTGGCAAATCCCGGTAGTCTTTTGTGTGAGCATTCCCTGCCATGATGGTAACTACCCAACAGTCTTTTTTTGTGAGCATATCCTGTAACCGTGACAACTCCCGGTAGTCTTTTGTGTGAGCATATCCTGCCATGATGGTTACTACCCGGCAGTCTTTTGCGTGAGCATATCCTGTAACCGTGGCAACACCCGGTAGTCTTTTGCGTGAGCATATCCTGTAACCGTGGCAACAACCGGTAGTCTTTTGTGTGAGCATATCCAGCCATGATGGTAACTACCCAACAGTTTTTTGCTTGAGCATATCCTGTAACCGTGGCAACTCCCGGTAGTCTTTTGTGTGAGCATATCCTGCCATGATGGTAACTACCCAACAGTCTTTTTTTGTGAGCATATCCTGTAAACGTGGCAACACCCGGCAGTCTATTGTGTGAGCATATCTTGCCATGGTGATAACTACTCGGTAGTCTTCTCTCTGAGCATATCCTGCCATTGCGATAACACTTGGCATTCCTCTCTGTTATAATAGCCTGCCATAGCGGTCACAATCGGCCGTCATTTGTGTGAGCATATCCTTTGAGATAGTCATGTGTCTGGCCCTTAGAAGTGCTAAAAACATAATTTCGTGGTTTCGAATGTTAGATTCGCTATGATTGTCCTTTTTGGTGTGTCAGTACCGGGCACCCTATCCATGCCCGTGACCTGCTTGATCACTTCCGGTTTTCTTCCACCATCAAGCTGATGTAACTGAAATAAAGTGGCGTTAAACGCAACCAACTCTCTTACTTGGTACTTTCTAACATCAACCAATCCTTGAACAGTCCTCTGATATAGATGCTGGTTCTCCTTAATGTGTAGTTCTCGCCAATTTGTAGTTCTTGTCAATTTGTAGTTCTTGCCAATTTGTAGTTCTCGCCAATGTGTAGTTCTTGCCAATTGTAGTTCTCGCCAATGTGCAGTTCTCGCCAATGTGTAGTTCTCGCCAAAGTGTAGTTCTTGCCAATTTGTAGTTCTTGCCAATCTGTAGTTCTCGCTAATGTGTAGTTCTAGCCAATGTGTAGTTCTTTTCATGCCGTATTTGCAGGTCCATCACGAAGATTTATCGGAAGTATTGGGCATGCAATTGATCACGCGGTACATGAAGTTGGACATGGAATAGATCACGTGGTACATGAAGTCAAGTGTCATGTTGCAGGCTGTGGTGGTGGCGGTAAGTATTTAAAACCCATAGCTGTCTTTACACCTCAGCAGAAACATGACAAAGATTTGAAACGAAGGTCTAATACGTATTGCTCACATGTCGCAGTATCGACGCATAAAAAACAGTGAAATGTTTGAGAAAGGGAAAGTTGCGAGAAGGCGAGGAAGCAAATTTTGCCACAAAATAAATGTACGGCTATATCGCATTAAAATAGTATCTAGTATCTAATGTACCAGCATCATTATTCCATAAAATATATTTTACAAAAAGCTAAAAATATGTTTGAACCATTTTTTATTTGCATCACAAACATTACTCTCCTAATATAGACAGTCATATCTACTGTATACAACTCGTGTTGGTGGCGCGTGCTTCCTGAAGAGCAAGGCATGCTTACCCTTGTCTAGAAAATCTTGTGTCATGACTGATTTCCAGTGAAGCACTCATACACTTCCAATCACTATTTTACCTTTTACGCCGAATGGAATATATTTCGGTTGATAGTCGAGCCTGATTAATATCGGCGTTGATGTTTTATATTTGCTTAAAAGAACGGAACAGTGAAACCGACTGGAATGATGTGTTGGAATTACGCATTTTCGCGAATTTGTGCTTTGGGGGCATCTTTGTCAGGAGAGAATCAGATTCAACTTCATGTCCAGGTCTTGTTTGTGTTTGTTTGAAGAGTGAAATAACGCGGGGCGTTTTTTCAACGTCGCACTGTCACATATGCAAATTTGCAGCTATTTGCCAGGTAGCACCTGACTTAACATCGTGTCCTAAATACCAGGTACTGATCCGGTTGTGCACAACCCTCCCAGCATCAGCTGTCCCACGGTCCCCACGGTCACAGCGCCGCCCAGAGCAACCAGTGTCAAGGTCACGTGGTCTGAACATGCAGGGTAAGTATCTGCAGCTGAGGCTCAGCACATCACCTTGTTGAGGCCGAATGTCCAGATACACAATTCGTAGTATCACCCTCTATAGTTGTATACCAGTGTGGTTATAGTTCTATCATTGAAGACCTTCTTCAGTGTGGTTAGTTTTTCATATCAATGTTTTGTGTGTCTTCGGTAAAAGATATCGTCCTGACTTCAGCCTCATTGAAGGGACTTCGTTAAAGTCACGCTGCATTAACGTGTGCTGTTTCTACAGGGCAAGTAGAAGCGGCCCGGCTCCAGGCAGTATATTGCCAGAGGGAGTGACATCAGTGACGTACACTGTCAAGGACAGCTCGACCGGTCTCTCCAACAGCTGCACCGTGAAGATTGTAGTCCGGGGTAGGTCTCGTGCAGTCACACCGTTAGTCTCGTGCAGTCACACCGTTAGTCTCGTGCAGTCACACCGTTAGTCTCGTGTTGGTTGGGTTCATCACACATAGATCGATTTCCTCGAGCAGGTATGCGGGTGGTCCGATCAAATGCATGTCTGTAATTTTCCGTTAAAAATATACCCACTCTTGAGTCACTCTTCATATTAACAGTGTTTGTTTTAATCTGCTCTGATCCATCAGTTGTTCGATGTTCTCTCCCGGCGGCTGCCCCCGATAACGGCGCCATGATGTGCAGAGGCACCCACGGCAGGATGGTGTACGGGGACACATGTAGATACGAATGCAGCAGGGGCTACGAGATGGCAGGGGCAGGCAGCAGCAAGTGCGCCCTCAATGGACGATGGTCCAGCAGTGCTCCGACCTGCAAACGTAAGCATACTAACAACGAACTACTCCAAACCATACATAAACCATGCATACGTATGAATCAATTACTAGCATTTAAAACTCACTGACCTGACCTCTGGTTCAATCCACGCCTAATTCGTAACATTTCTCACACAGAAATGCTTCCCTGTTCATGTACTTCAGGTAACGTTTAGAGAGATGCGGACGTTTTAAAATCGAGTTTCAAATCCCACTTGATCCGTACAGGCAGCGTTCACAGCCTGAAGTTGCTTTCACATCCTAGTCATGTTTTTCAATGTGTATATTGTTATTAATTATATCATGTAGCTGTGCCGTGCGGCTCTCCGACACCGATCACCAATGGACACTTCAGTTGTAACGGGAACACGTTTCGCAGCGCATGTCACGTGACCTGTGACGAAGGCTACACGGCTGACACAACGGCGAGGTCTGTCACGTGTCAAGCGGACAGACGGTGGACCCATACAAGGGGTTGTCTAGGTAATGTATACAACCCTCTAGATACCGATATGTTCCCATACAAGGGTCTGTCTAGGTAATGTCTACAACCCTCTAGATACCGATATGTTCTCATACAAGGGGCTGTCTAGGTAATGTATACAACCCTCTAGATACCGATATGTTCTCATACAAGGGGCGGTCTAGGTAATGTAAACAACCCTCTAGATACCGATATGTTCTCATACAAGGGGCTGTCTAGGTAATGTCTACAACCCTCTAGATACCGATATGTTCTCATACAAGGGGCGGTCTAGGTAATGTAAACAACCCTCTAGATACCGATATGTTCTCATACAAGGGGCTGTCTAGGTAATGTATACAACCCTCTAGATAAAGATATGTTCTCATACAAGAGGCTGTCTAGGTAATGTATACAACCCTCTAGATACCGATACGTTCCCATACAAGGGGCTGTCTAGGTAATGTCTACAACCCTCTAGATACCGATATGTTCTCATACAAGGGGTTGTCTAGGTAATGTATACAACCCTCTAGATAACGATATGTTCTCATACAAGGGGCTGTCTAGGTAATGTGAACAACCCTCTAGATAACGATATGTTCTCATACAAGGGGCTGTCTAGGTAATGTATACAACCCTCTAGATAACGATATGTTCTCATACAAGGGGCGGTCTAGGTAATGTCTACAACCCTCTAGATACCGATATGTTCTCATACAAGGGGCGGTCTAGGTAATGTGTACAACCCTCTAGATACCGATATGTTCTCATACAAGGGGCGGTCTAGGTAATGTATACAACCCTCTAGATACCGATATGTTCTCATACAAGGGGTTGTCTAGGTAATGTATACAACCCTCTAGATACCGATATGTTCTCATACAAGGGGTTGTCTAGGTAATGTATACAACCCTCTAGATAAAGATATGTTCTCATACAAGGGGCTGTCTAGGTAATGTATACAACCCTCTAGATAACGATATGTTCTCATACAAGGGGCTGTCTAGGTAATGTATACAACCCTCTAGATACCGATATGTTCTCATACAAGGGGCTGTCTAGGTAATGTATACAACCCTCTAGATAACGATATGTTCTCATACAAGGGGCTGTCTAGGTAATGTATACAACCCTCTAGATAAAGATATGTTCTCATACAAGGGGCTGTCTAGGTAATGTATACAACCCTCTAGATACCGATATGTTCTCATACAAGGGGCTGTCTAGGTAATGTATACAACCCTCTAGATAACGATATGTTCTCATACAAGGGGCTGTCTAGGTAATGTATACAACCCTCTAGGTAACGATATGTTCTCATACAAGGGGCTGTCTAGGTAATGTATACAACCCTCTAGATAAAGATATGTTCCCATACAAGGGGCTGTCTAGGTAATGTAAACAACCCTCTAGATACCGATATGTTCTCATACAAGGGGTGTCTAGGTAATGTATACAACCCTCTAGATAACGATATGTTCTCATACAAGGGGCTGTCTAGGTAATGTATACAACCCTCTAGATACCGATATGTTCTCATACAAGGGGTGTCTAGGTAATGTATACAACCCTCTAGATAAAGATATGTTCCCATACAAGGGGCTGTCTAGGTAATGTATACAACCCTCTAGATACCGATATGTTCTCATACAAGGGGCTGTCTAGGTAATGTAAACAACCCTCTAGATAACGATATGTTCTCATACAAGGGGCTGTCTAGGTAATGTATACAACCCTCTAGATAACGATATGTTCCCATACAAGGGGCTGTCTAGGTAATGTATACAACCCTCTAGATACCGATATGTTCTCATACAAGGGGCTGTCTAGGTAATGTATACAACCCTCTAGATAACGATATGTTCTCATACAAGGGGCTGTCTAGGTAATGTATACAACCCTCTAGGTAACGATATGTTCTCATACAAGGGGCTGTCTAGGTAATGCATACAACCCTCTAGATAAAGATATGTTCCCATACAAGGGGCTGTCTAGGTAATGTAAACAACCCTCTAGATACCGAGATGTTCTCATACAAGGGGTGTCTAGGTAATGTATACAACCCTCTAGATAACGATATGTTCTCATACAAGGGGCTGTCTAGGTAATGTATACAACCCTCTAGATAACGATATGTTCTCATACAAGGGGCGGTCTAGGTAATGTATACAACCCTCTAGATACCGATATGTTCTCATACAAGGGGTTGTCTAGGTAATGTATACAACCCTCTGGATAACGATATGTTCTCATACAAGGGGCTGTCTAGGTAATGTATACAACCCTCTAGATACCGATATGTTCTCATACAAGGGGCAATCTGGGTAACATCCACAAACCTCTCAATATCCATGTAGTCTCCTACAAAGAGCTGTCTGGGTAATATGAACAATCCCTTTCAATGCCAAAATAGTATCATACCAGGTTCTGTCTGGGTAATATCCACAACCCTCTCAATATCGATATATATTCTCATACAAGATTCTGTCTCAGTAATATCCACAACCCTCTCAATATCGATATATTCTTATACCAGGTTCTGTTTGATAAATATCCTAAACCCTCTCAATGTCGATATTTTCTCATACCAGGTTCTGTTTGGTAAATATCCCAAACCCTGTCAATGTCGATATATTCTCATACAAGTGGTATGTCAGTCTCCCGCATTGGCAGTGTCGTATCTTGTCAAGCACGTTCATCTGAACTCGTCACCACAGAATCTTACTGCACTGTTACAGACTTGAAGCCCCCGTTGATAAACCACTGCCCAGCCTCCAAGGTGTATGTGGCTGACAGGGGAAGCACCTCCACAACAGTCAGATGGGTGAGGGTAACAGGGGTTGATCCACCAACTGCTCTCACTCCCCTTGTTGTACAGACCGAGGGTCCACCCCCGGGGTCAGTGGTGGGCGAGGGACGTCACCATGTAGAGTACAAGGTCGTAGACGCCGCTGGGAACGTTGCTGTTCATCCGTGTTCCTTCAACGTCACGGTGCAAGGTGACAAAGCGTGTACAAAAGACACCATTGTTGCATTCTGTTGTTGCATATACACAATATGAACAATGCTACATTATATTGGAGCATAGACACAGTATAAACACTGTTGGGTAGAATTCTCAAAGTAGTGAGTGAGTCTAGTTGTTCGCCGATTTAACAATATTTCAGCAATATCACGGCGGTGTAGGCCAAAAATGGCCTTCACATATTGTACCGATGTGGGGATTCGGACACTGGTATTTAGTGTGACGAGCGAACGCTTCAACCACAAGGTTACCCCACTGCCGACTACACAAAGTATAAACACTGTTACTTTCTATTGAAGCATATATAAAATATTAACACTTTTAGATGAATTGGTTACATACTTACAGTATACATCACTGCTGCTATCTTTTATATCCTATTCAAAATATAACGACTGTCAGTTCTTACTTTCAACTGCATATAATAAGGCTCTTTAATATAAGTTTTTCAACGCTATTTCTTTCAATGTTAGATTTAAAACATGTGTAAGCATTCGATGTTAAGGTTAAAAAATATGCGTAAACGAAAAAACAAACCGATTATCAAGTGAATGCCTTCGACAAGCAACAAGGTAAAGTTTTCGGAATGTAGTGACTACAATTATCCTACATTTGCTGAGGATGAGACTGTGGTTTCCGTGTGTCGTTCACCAGCTGTCCGCTGCTCGGCTCCACGGCTGGACAACAAACTTCTGCTCCAGTACGCATGTCCGAATGACCGCATCCACGGAAGTGAGTGTCTGCTGAGCTGTCACCATGGTAACCTGGCAGGACCGAGGAAGATCGTGTGTGAGAAGGACAACTTCTTCCCCCCATCAGCACAGTGGCGGTGGAACACAACGACTGGCGTGCAGCCCCACTGCCAGGGTGGGATGCTTGACCAAACACCAAACTGTGTTTATGTTGATGAGGTCTTTAGCAATTGTTTATATTTTCCGAAAAGCCCATTGGACGTTTGTTTTGTTATAGTTGATCAAGAGTTCAGTGCGTATACATCTTGTGCGACATCTTAACTTACCACTGTACATATTGGGCCTCATTTAAACGTACTACCTCACACAGTGTTGCCAAGTGGAACCTTACTGCTTCAGACTTCAGAAATAAAGTTTACCCTTCCCCCATGTGAAGTGTAATAAAATAAAGTTTTGCCCTGATCTTTTAGCAAAGAATCTCAGAATAGGCTTTAAATATAAACTTTGACCAACTTAATCTGAAACTATGCTACGTTCAAAAATGAATAATGAAAACCTTTTTGTTTTAAATCACATTATCCTCTGTGTGCTATTGTGCTAGTACAGGAACTTTATACATGTCATCATGTCTGCGTGTAGTGCGGTCTTGTCCTGCTCTACGGTCTCCCCGCGGTGGCGCCCTCTCGTGTGACGGCTGGGACACCGGCGCCCTGTGTCAGATGCAGTGTAAGGACGGCTTCACCTTCCCCTCAGCGGCTCAAAGTGGCATCTTCGTGTGTGGCCATGACAACAAGACATGGTTCCCGCCAGACGTTCCAGACTGTCTAGGTGAATACCCGTACATTGAACACAACAAAAACATTGAACACTACCAGTACATTAAACACTGCCAATACATTGAACACTACCCGTACATTGAACACTACCAGTACATTGAACACTACCAGTACATTGAACACTACCAGTACATTAAACACTACCAGAACATTGAACACTACCCGTACATTGAACACTACCCGTGCATTGAACACTACCCGTACATTGAACACTACCCGTACATTGAACACTACCAGTACATTGAACACTACCCGTACATTGAACACTACCAGTACATTGAACACTACCAATATATTGAACACTACCAATACATTAAACACTACCAGAACATTGAACACTACCAGAACATTGAACACTACCCGTGCATTGAACACTACCCGTATAATGAACACTGCCAATACATTGAACACTACCCGTACATTGAACACTACCAGTACATTGAACACTACCAGTACATTGCACACTACCCGTACATTGAACACTACCAGTACATTGAACACTACCAATATGAACACTACCAGTACATTGAACACTACCAATATATTGAACACTACCAATACATTAAACACTAACAGAACATTGAACACTACCAGAACATTGCACACTACCCGTGCATTGAACACTACCCGTATAATGAACACTGCCAATACATTGAACACTACCCGTACATTGAACACTACCAGTACATTGAACACTACCAGTACATTGAACACTACCCGTACATTGAACACTACCAGTACATTGAACACTACCCGTACATTGAACACTACCAGTACATTGAACACTACCAATATATTGAACACTACCAATACATTAAACACTACCAGAACATTGAACACTACCAGAACATTGAACACTACCCGTGCATTGAACACTACCCGTATAATGAACACTGCCAATACATTGAACACTACCCGTACATTGAACACTACCAGTATATTGAACACTACCAGTACATTGAACACTACCAGTACATTGAACATTACCAATATATTGAACACTACCAATACATTAAACACTACCAGAACATTGAACACTACCAGAACATTGAACACTACCCGTGCATTGAACACTACCCGTACATTGAACACTACCCGTACATTGAACACTACCAGTACATTGAACACTACCCGTACATTGAACACTACCAGTACATTGAACACTACCAATATATTGAACACTACCAATACATTAAACACTACCAGAACATTGAACACTACCAGAACATTGAACACTACCCGTGCATTGAACACTACCCGTATAATGAACACTGCCAATACAATGAACACTACCCGTACATTGAACACTACCAGAACATTGAACACTACCAGAACATTGAACACTACCCGTGCATTGAACACTACCCGTACAATGAACACTGCCAATACATTGAACACTACCCGTACATTGAACACTACCAGTACATTGAACACTTCCAGTACATTGAACACTACCAGTACATTGAACATTACCAATATATTGAACACTACCAATACATTAAACACTACCAGAACATTGAACACTACCAGAACATTGAACACTAACCGTGCATTGAACACTACCCGTACATTGAACACTACCCGTACATTGAACACTACCAGTACATTGAACACTACCCGTACATTGAACACTACCAGTACATTGAACACTACCAATATATTGAACACTACCAATACATTAAACACTACCAGAACATTGAACACTACCAGAACATTGAACACTACCCGTGCATTGAACACTACCCGTATAATGAACACTGCCAATACATTGAACACTACCCGTACATTGAACACTACCAGTACATTGAACACTACCAGTACATTGAACACTACCAGAACATTGAACACTACCAGTACATTGAACACTACCCGTACATTGAACACTACCAGTACATTGAACACTACCAATATATTGAACACTACCAATACATTAAACACTACCAGAACATTGAACACTACCAGAACATTGAACACTACCCGTGCATTGAACACTACCCGTATAATGAACACTGCCAATACATTGAACACTACCCGTACATTGAACACTACCAGAACATTGAACACTACCAGAACATTGAACACTACCCGTGCATTGAACACTACCCGTACAATGAACACTGCCAATACATTGAACACTACCTGTGCATTGAACACTACCCGTACATTGAACACTAGCCGTACATTGAACACTACCAGTACATTGAACACTACCCGTACATTGAACACTACCAGTACATTGAACACTACCAATATATTGAACACTACCAATACATTAAACACTACCAGAACATTGAACACTACCAGAACATTGAACACTACCCGTGCATTGAACACTACCCGTATAATGAACACTGCCAATACAATGAACACTACCCGTACATTGAACACTACCAGTACATTGAACACTACCAGTACATTGAACACTACCAGAACATTGAACACTACCAATATATTGAACACTACCAATACATTAAACACTACCAGAACATTGAACACTACCAGAACATTGAACACTACCCGTGCATTGAACACTACCCGTATAATGAACACTGCCAATACATTGAACACTACCCGTACATTGAACACTACCAGTACATTGAACTCTACCAGTACATTGAACACTACCCGTACATTGAACACTACCAGTACATTGAACACTACCAATATATTGAACACTTCCAATACATTAAACACTACCAGAACATTGAACACTACCCGTGCATTGAACACTACCCGTATAATGAACACTGCCAATACATTGAACACTACCCGTACATTGAACACTACCAGTACATTGAACACTACCAGTACATTGAACACTACCCGTACATTGAACACTACCAGTACATTGAACACTACCAGTACATTGAACACTACCAATATATTGAACACTACCAATACATTAAACACTACCAGAACATTGAACACTACCAGAACATTGAACACTACCCGTGCATTGAACACTTCCCGTACATTGAACACTACCAGTACATTGAACACTACCCGTACATTGAACACTACCAGTACATTGAACACTACCAATATATTGAACACTACCAATACATTAAACACTACCAGAACATTGAACACTACCAGAACATTGAACACTACCCGTGCATTGAACACTACCCGTATAATGAACACTGCCAATACATTGAACACTACCCGTACATTGAACACTACCAGTACATTGAACTCTACCAGTACATTGAACACTACCCGTACATTGAACACTACCAGTACATTAAATACAACCAGAACATTGAACACTAACCGTGCATTCAACACTACCCGTACATTGAACACTACCAGAACATCGAACACTACAGTACATTCAACACTACCCGTACATTCAACACTACCAGTACATTGAACACTACCAATACATTAAACACTGCCAATATATTGAACACTACAAGAATATTAAACACTGCCCCTGCATTGAACACTACCCGTACATTGAACACTGCAAATGCATTGAACATTAAACACTACCCGTGCATTGAACACTACCCGTACATTGAACACTGCCAATACATTGAACACTACCCGTGCATTCAACACTACCCGCGCATTGAACATTACCCGTACATTGAACACTACCAGAACATTTAACACTACCCGTGCATTGAACACTACCGTACATTGAACACTGCCAATACATTGAACACTTCCCGTGCATTGAACACTACCCATGCATTGAACATTACCCGTACATTGAACACTACCAGAACATTGAACACTACCCGTGCATTGAACACTACCCGTACACTGAACACGACCAGAACATTGAACACTACCAGAACATTGAACACTACCCGTGCATTGAACACTACCCATGCATTGATCATTACCCGTACATTGAACACTACCCGTACATTAAACACTACCAGAACATTGATCCCTACCCGTGCATTGGACACTACCCGTGCATTGAACAGTACCCGTACATTGAACACTGCCAATGCATTGAACATTAAACACTACCCGTGCATTGAACACTACCCGTACATTGAACACTGCCAATACATTGAACACTAACCGTGCATTGAACACTACCCGTGCATTGAACACTACCCGTGCATTGAACATTACCCGTACATTGAACACTACCAGAACATTGAACACTACCCGTGCATTGAACACTACCCGTACATTGAACACTACCAGAACATTCAACACTACCCGTGCATTGAACACTACCAGAACATTGAACATTACCCGTACATTGAACACTCCCCATGCATTGAACACTACCAGTGCATTGAACACTACCCGTACATTGAACACTACCAGAACATTGAACACTACCAGTACATTGAACACTACCCGTGCATTGAACATTACCCGTACATTGAACACTACCAGAACATTGAACACTACCCGTGCATTGAACACTACCCGTACATTGAACACTACCAGAACATTGAACACTACCAGTGCATTGAACACTACCAGAAGATTGAACATTACCCGTACATTGAACACTACCAGAACATTGAACACTACCCGTGCATTGAACATTACCCGTACATTGAACACTACCAGAACATTGAACACTACCCGTGCATTGAACACTACCCGTACATTGAACACTACCAGAACATTGAACACTGCCCGTACATTGAACACTACCCATACATTAAACACTACCAGAACATTGAACACTGCCCGTACATTAAACACTACCAGAACAATGAACACTGCCCGTACATTGAACACTACCAGAACATTGAACACTGCCAATACATCGAACACTACACTTACATTGAACACTACCAGAACATCAAACGCTATCCTTCAATTGAACACTACCCGTACGTCGAGAAGAGGGATTCTAGCACAGGTCTTTTAGGCAGAAGCACTTCTAAAGTGGTGGTTCCATTTGCAACACTCGGCAAGTCTGGATAAACGCCCAGGCATATATGCATACCATGCTGAGGTGAAAGAAGAATAGGAATAATCTGTATGAATGCTTGTATGTACAACACCAATACAATTCATTCCCATGTTCACAACATTTTAAAACAATTTCTTTTCGCATTTTTTTTACAGGGTTGCTCACGGTTACATTTTACAAGCAAATGACAAACATTATATAAAAAGATAACATAGAATTGATGGCAAACAGCTTATGACAGCATGACCGGCACCGATACAATTGGTCAATTCTGGGAATTAACATAGATGAATATTTTGTGAGGATTGGAGTTTGTGGAGTCTTTGCTGCAAGAACCAAAAAGTTGATATACGCTTTGTGGATTTGACTTGAATGCGATAAATTTGAAAATAATTAGAATAACATTTATTTGAACGTTATTATTTAAAACATGTTTATATATATATATAATCGTTTGGTGGAGATAATTCGACAGCGTCCTTGAATTACACACAGCCTTAGGTAATAATTTCCTTTAGTTACAATGATGAAGGAGAATAGGTAACATTGTCACCTCCCAATGCATTGTTTTCCCCGCAGCCACCAGCACATTCTACTCCATCAGCATGGCCAGCAACTTCTACTACCGTGGCCAATGTGACCAGACACACCTCCAGCTAGTGAGACGCAACTTCATACTCGCACTCAAGGCATCCATGTTCGGGTTGGAAATGTGTAAAGACGTTCTGGCGTGTCAGGCTGATAATGTCAGGGTCACATGTGGATCACGGTTAACTAAGAGAGACATCAAACCAGTGATACGGGTCAAGGTCAAGTTCACCTTTCCTTACAAGCTCCTGGGTAATGATACCACTGCCAGGGGCCTAATGAAGTTCAAGGACACGTTTGTGAAAGGAATCAAAGGATCAGCAAAGTTGCTGACTATTGGAAGTAAACATCTGTTGTTGGACAGCCACCTCACCTCATTTGAGGAGCTCTCCCCCAGATGTCGCCGGGGCCAGAAGACAGTCAATGATACATGCTGTAAGTATGGAGGTCAATGTATATTCCATAAGGGATGTGGTCAGCGGATAACTTATTGCACAATGCTCTAGAATTGCTTCATACTGTCGTGCAACTCGCAAGGCAGTGAATGTTCACTCTTTGGGACATTGCCTCAATTGAAAGAAATATTCAACTGAGAATGTTCAAACAATCCACATGCAGCTGACCAATTTATGGTTGAAGATAATGGTAACTATCCTACTCCGTGTCTACTGTACGCGCACTGTGAGTTGTATTTCAGCCGGCTGTGGTCCTGGGTATGTCCTCAACCGGGTGACCGAGACCTGTGTAGCATGTCCTGTAGGGTACTTCCAGGACAGGGACAGCGCCCCCTGGTGTCAGCCATGCCCTCTACGTCATACCACGTCTACCAGTGCAGCAACATCGTTCACGGAGTGCGCCAGTAGGTATGGGGAGAACCGGCAAGTCTTTAACGTATACATTAAACGACCTCGTGGTTCCGTTTGCATCTCCGCACAGATAGTTTATCTTTCATTGCGAGTCCAGTTTAGAATGTGTCAGGCCGAGATGATGTCTGTGACATCGAGGCGGTGGGGTACCCTGGCGGCTAAAGCGTCGAAGACCCGGGTTCGATTCCCCACATGGGTATAATGTGTGAAGCCAATTTCTGGAGTCCCCGCCGTGATATTACTGGAATATTGCTATTTGCGGCCTATATTCTTTCACCCAGTAAATGAGCGTGCTGTACAGCAAAATAGATCTGTATTGACTTTCAGAATTGTCACTCATGCAAGCAGGCTAGGGCTAATCATATATCAATCATTGTGACACTACCACATATGTAGAGACCTGTAAAAAGTGTCTCTACAAAACAGGAACCGGCCAATCGTACGGCTAGATTCTTTGACGAGTAATGGTAATACTGTCCACTGGTCCTCAGTGTGAAGTATACATAACGCTGAGCTCCTTGCAGCCCGCTGTCCCCCAGGGGAGTTCTCGGACACCGGCCTGTCTCCCTGCTCACTGTGCCCGCTCGGCACCTTCCAGCCTGACCACAGCTCCACGTCCTGTCGCAGGTGCCCACCTGGAACCATCACTCCACTAGATGGCGCTGTGACCATACAGGACTGTCAAGGTCAGGAATTCATACACGAGGATTGGTAATATGTTCAGCTGTGATTGTACAGAGATTGGTGTGTATTAGGTATATGATCTACACAATGAAGGCTTTGAAAGTCTAAAATATTGTTATCCATTGTTAATTTAACAAACAATTGATTCCTTCATTCTTAAAATAATAATTGGTATGCATGGACAATTGTTTCTGTGAGGAATTACATTGTTACGGCGTTCTTCCCTGCATGTAGCCTGTTCGGTATTCCCATATACAAATGGCAGAAAACAATGAAGAACGAAGCGTGGTTTATTTCACGATAAAACATTGTTCTATCATGACGTCATTTCTGGAGATTGGAACATGCGCTCGCAACTTGATGACGTCGTATGTTTGACGACGTTATTTTTGAGAGGGGAGTGTCTAGCGTGTTGTTCCCCATAAATGTAACAGGGTAACACGGATAAACGCGATGTCCGAACGATCGCATCCAAAACCGGGAGCGATATGGCAATCGGTATTGGGAGAAAAGGTACAGAAAATCGACCTGAGGATTGTGAGAGTATGCGGGAAATATCCACCTGTGCATAAAATGGACTTATCTGACGTTGTCGAGGACGGATTTTATTGAGGATCATTTGAAAAGTGGCTAATATTTTTCAGCATCCTTTAAGAGGCTGTACATAATGTTGATATCTCATATAAGAAATAAACGATACGACTAAGCCCTTCATGGTTATTCTCTCTGCTGTGTTATATTGTACGATAAACAACGACCACGAATCGTTTATTTCTTAAATAATGGCTATCGGAAGGTTATTACACATGATACCACGAAGTTCATGATATTTTCTATTTCCAGCATATGACGTGACTATCGCTGGCCACGGGAAGGCGTTGTTCAGACAACACGCTCGGGATCTGAACCAGTGGACGTACTCCATGTGGTTCAGACTGCATGATTCCATCCAAGGGGATGTCATGCTCGGACAATGGTCAACAAATGCCGCACAACAGGTCGTAGCGCTATCAATAACGAACGGCACCGTCAACTTCTATTCTCAAGGGTAAGCTAACAAAGCCACAATTGCAACATCAGTCCGTATCAGAGCCGGCCCTTGTGTGTGTTTGATATTGTTTGTTAGCATTTTAAAGCATCAGTGTAAAACACTTGCAAAGATAATGCATCGTAATCATTCTACATGCGACATGCACATGTGCTGCGTTACAGGCGGCTTCTTAAACTGCTTACTATAACGGTCATGATGAGTAAGTGAGTGTTTTGGCAATATTCATGCAATATCGCGGCGGGGGAGACCAGAAATGAACTTCACACATGGTGCCCATGTGGGGAATCGAACCCAGGTCTTCGGTGTGACGAGCGAACGCTTTAACTCCTAGGCTACCCCACAGCCCTTAAGCCATAGAGAGAATGGTCAAGACAAACCCTCAGACGAGCTGACTGACTTGGACCAGGTCAGCAAGAGACATTTCAGCATACCCGTTTTATTTGTTTGTTGTTTAACGCCACATTTTGAGCAATGTTCCAGCAATATGACGGCGGTGTGTTAATAATGAAGTCTGGACCAGACAATCCAGTTATTGGACGCATGATCGAATCACGCAGTTGGGATACGATGACACGCATCAACCGATCCCGCTAGACGCCTGCTACGACAAGCGCGTGTGACTGAAGACCAAGTCAAACCCGGATCTTCACGGGAATCGCGATATAAACCCGTCACTACAATATGGACCAGGTTGTCTGTCTAATTGACGTTACATATTGTCCTAGCAACGTCTACAGCAAGACGGGGATCACCCTCATGCCAACGTGGAACCATTGCGTCCTTACAGCGTCCGAAGGAGCCGCCGCACACGTCTACGTCAACGGTCACGACGTCCTTACTGTGAAGACATCAATGCTGTCCATTCCACAGAACTCACGACTCCATATTGTAGCCGATGCTGCAGGTGAACCATCCTCGGGGTTCGGGGCAATAATGAAATTCTATAGTAGAGAACGGCTATGTGTAGGGGTAGTGTGTACATATTTGTCAAATGTGGCTTTTTGCTCATGATTATGTTCACCAAATACCAACTCATTGCTAATCCCAATTCAAAGGGAGATAGTTATTTCCACTGTGCAATCACTCTGCCAATGGTCAAAGATAGCAGGTCTTCCTCAACATGAAACACCACCACATAACCTGTCTTATAATATGTCTTGTCATTTACAGGCGTCAGTGTGTCTAGGGTCATTCTTCGTGACTACGTCATTCGTGACGCTCTGATACCGGGTCTCGCAAGATCGTGCAGCGTTGACGAGACTCCGCGAGAGTTAGATCTCGACTCCATAGATTATGATGAATCTAATACTGACGTCATCTTTCCCAGCGTCTGTCATGAGAGAAGTCAGTAATGGTTTTAGAATTATGATCGCACTGTACAGTCCCCGACGATGTCACATTTAATAAACACAAGTGATGCTGTGTGTTTCTGGGGTTGGATGTTGGCCCCAAGCGTGTGTCTTGATGCAGGGGAAAACCGGGATCAATCAACTTCAAGGTGCAAGAGGCCATCAAAGTCCAATTTCCACCCTTGCCAATTATGGCTGGACTAACGAGTCTATGCATAGTCCAATGAAAATCGTGTAACAAACTCGGCGTCCGGTTCATAAAGAACATGGATTTCAACGAGGAGATTTCGTCGACAGATATTTTCCAAGGTCTTTCATGCTTTTCATCAATGTGCTCACGTAATTTGATGCATTTTCCGGGGAAAGACCCGTTTTATTACAATATAGACCTTGATAATCAAACAGATCGTGTTGACTCGGCGCCGCCATTTTGTTTGAAGCAAATGCAAGTGATATGAGAGATGAAATCTGATTGGTCAATAGGAGGAACATAGAAGGGACATAACTCGCAATAGCCACTAGTGGCGCTACGATCGAGCATAGAAAATCTAGTCAGTTCGTCAAGGGTGGAAACTGGACTTTTATTGTCAGTTAAATCCCTTGCCTCGGAAAGATGAGTCAGCATGGATGAATGAAGGACTATGTTGATGGACCACCAGTCATGTGATAAACTTGCCTCGGGAAGATGTCGCATGTGCATGCTTGGAAAACATTGTTCGCTGAAAAGGCGAGACACATTTGACCCGACACATTTCGCTGTGAGTTATGTCAAGTTACCGTGGCAGCATGGCTCGAAACCTGGATTCGCACCGATTATGACCTGCTACATTTAGGCTTTGACTCAACTGATGCAACTAAAATGCTGAACTCACTGAAACAATATTTACTGAAGATAAAGCACCTGGAACCCAAAGTAATTGCTTACGTCAAGGTGAAAGTTGCCTGGATGTTCACGTGTTAGAAGCTTATGTTGTGTTGTTTCATTGAGTATTTCAAGTTGTGTTGATAAATTTCATTCAACTCTGCTCATTGGATTGAAACTATGATTTTGCTGGATGTGTGGGTTAGTTAACCTATTGTATTGATACCCCTGTAGACACAGGTTGATATAGGGCGTCAGGGGCGACGCGTGATACTGAGATCATGTTAACACGACACCAAACCATGTGCTCTCAGATATGTATATGTTCAATCCCTCTTCAAAAATACATTTATATGTAGATATCTGCTTTGAACGCAAACTGAAGAGACCACAGCCCGAGGTGGCACACCTAGTGAGCAGGCAGCAACAGATGAAAGCAACAGCCTTGTAGACAAAGAAGGTTCACATAACGATGGTAATATTGAAAGAGTACATCTGGGTTATTGTAAACATATTGTATGCTTCATGTATGAGATCTACATAAAGTACAATGATCAACTGTGAACTTGGTCGATACCCTCTTAGATGTATACAATTAAAATGGTAAAATATTGGAGTAAGATATTGCTTACTGACTGCTGTATTCTCAAAGGACGTTACGAATATGTTTGATAAAGTTAAATAGGCATATACAATCTGGAATACATTCCAGACGTTTACCTATGATAGAACAGTCGTCGCCCGATATGAACCCCGTCGACCACCTGTAGAATGAACTTTGGAGACCGTGCAACATTACTGGCAAGTCATCCACAACATTGATTAAGACGTCTGTGTCTAGCCCTGCCTCGCCGACATACACGATACACACCACTGCAGACTCCTGCCTTCATCATCAAAGGGGGCCCGTGATAAAGTTTTAAAATCGTGGTCTTTTGGTTGACGAAAAATCAAGCATTTGGGAAGTAGGTCAGAACAACGAACCAACAGACCTTTGCAGGAGTTTCATCAGGTAGAGGGCTATGTCTCAAGAAATATGTGCAGAAGCAACAGACGTGCGCTAGATCGGTTGTCGATGTGGTGCAGCTCGTTTGCTTCTAGAGACAGGAAAATATGACATGTACCTCCAATTAAGAGACATTGTTTCGTCTGGCCAGATTCTGTCGAGGACGAAATCCATGTTATCTTATCCTTCATCAGTATTTAGAGAGTTGCAAAGAAATAGTTTACGGTTTTAATGATTTATCGACCTACGCCGTGGTCTAGTGGATAGAGCGTCTGCCCGGAAAGCGGAAGGTCGTGGGTTTGATCCCTGGCCGCGTCGTACCAAAACACGTTAAAAGATAGTACTCGTTATTAACCTGTCAAGGACGGGTCGGCTCGGAGTCAGTATACTGTGTCTGAGTGGGTTATTCATGTTAAACTGCAGCATGGTATCTCAGTGGGCCACGTTATAAAATCGGCATTAGTCTGAACTAGTACAATCAGCCCAAAACACGTGCTATATAACTGCAACAATTTTGAACGCAACATAAAATCCTATTTCACCTCCTTTTGAATGGTTTATCAAATTATCATAATTTGTGTCACATTTAAGGTGATTCATCGCTGGTATTTTGACTTAGCTCAAACCTATATATATGTTTGTATGTGTTTGAATGTGCTTTTACAGAAAGGCATACATGTCCAAATGTTTAAATTGGTAAAGGGTGTTTGTTCTTAGTATGGGAAATACTAGAACTGACACATTTCAGAACTCCAGTGGTGTCCGACAGGGCTGTATTCTAGGCCCACTGTTATTTACATTCTTTATAAACCAACCTGCTACATATTTAGATAATAGTGAATAAACAGCTGCAGGTATTTTCGTGAATGAGTTTATTGATGAAATGAAATTGCTGCTGTTTGCGGGTGACGTTGTCCAAGTAGTGGACTTTGTAATTGCGTCACATAGAAAATTAGACAAATTGGAATCTTTTTGTGACATTTGGGGTCTGGAATTCAATATAGATAGATCAAATATAATTGTATTCCGAAATGGTGGCGGTATTAAACGAGTTGGAAAATGGTGCTTTAAAGATTCAGAAATGAAAAACTAACATATTATAAATACTTGGGCATCGTCATCTTCTGTGGTCAAAGGTCTGAGAAACCCGAGCCACACAGGCCAAAAAAGCATGTTTTCCTATTCTTATGTTGACTAAGCATTATCCGTACCCGACATTTAAGGTAATTGTTTCTATATTTGATAGTATAAATAGCTCCGATTGCATGTTGTGGAAGTGAAATTTGGGGATTTACATTTAGAGAATGCATAGAAAAAGTCAAAAGTTCTTTTTTCAAGAGATATCTGTTAATCAGTAATAAGGCATCATCTAATGCTGTTCTTGGTGAGTTTGGTCGTTAGTATCTAAATGTTAATGTTTCAGCTGATGTATAATATATTGATGTAGACTATTACGCATAAATGCAAATAGACTTCCACACGCTTGTTATAAAACAAGATGATAACGGTAGTGTTAATTGGGCATCTCATGTGAGAATGCTTTCGTTTGAATCTGTTTTTTGTGAAGCCTGGATATCGCAGGATTGTGGAGATAATGGACATTTTTTATGGAGTTGTTCAAGGGAAGACGTATTGCCATTGTTGTACAAAACTTGAGTTAAAAGATTAACAATTCTTAAATCATGATAGTCACTACATGGCTGAAATATTGCCGATGTGACTTTAAATTTTAACTCACTCACTGTCTCACTTAAATCATGATACGTCATATAAATCACAATTGGAAACTAAACTCTATATAACCGCATGCTTTGATTGGGATCTTTTAAGAGTCTTGGCGAAAATGAGTATGGGAACCATTGCTGCGTTAGTTAGAAACGGTGACCTCGAACTTTTTCTTTGATTGGTTCTATCCTTTTGGTTCCAAGTCTCCTAAAAAAATGAAGCTGAACTTTTAGTGACTAGAAAGTGGTCTCAGATAAGCTATTGTTCACAACTGCATGTCATTCATAATTCAACTTATGAGATGTATTGTCTGAAAGGCTCTCTGTATGCTGTATAAGCTGTTTGATTCAAAGGAAAGTAGTTTCAGTCGAAACCTTTTATTGCTTAATATCAGTGATATCTTCCAGGCTACGAAGTTTGGATTTTTCTGTACATATTGCTTCTCCACAGTTGTGGGATTTGTAAACATGAAAACATATAAACTTCTGAAATAAAAATATTGTACAAATCACCTATCAAACGCATCCTCAATATTCCCTTACACTTAATATTTTCTAACAGTAATTAAGTTTGACGTAGGAAGGAGTTATCGCGGCACGTCGAGAGTGGATGTTAATGTTTACAACATCAAGCTCTCACAGTCAATGGATTTCGTGTTATTCCCTAGCGTTGATGTTCTATATCTTCTTGAACTGGGTCAATGAGAGAACTCAATCTATTGCTTGTTTGTGTTTTTTACGTGATGCCGTTGTATGGCAGAGGTTCTTCTGAGCTGCCTCGGGCAACAGACTCTCACTTTCTTTTGTCTTTAAATTGTGGCAGTGGCAGAACATGCTTACCCTTTTACCTACTGTCATCGTTGATTTTCAGTGATCTGTTCAAATACTTTTCACTGCTATTTCACATTTTATGCCCAATTGAATCTGTTTCTGCTGAGAAATGGTTATTTTCTGCCGTGACATTTCATATTTAGAATTTGATTTTGGAATATACATATTGAATGACTTTGGTTGGCCTACAGTTCCAGCTTTCATGCCTGTGTGAATGTGTAGCACATTCGATGCTGAGCTGCAGATTGTACATCACACACAGGTAAGGATGAGTTAGAACGGATGTAGCAGTCACCTCATAGGCACCTCACACACAAAAATGCACGGCCACTCACAGTTGACGTTGTCAAAGTTGTATCCATATGGTTTCCACATACAGATACATTCTCCACTATCATCAGGTTGACCAGGGCCCCATAAATGCTCATTGACGACTCTACCATTTGCCCATTTGCACCAGCGTGATTTGCATGTGCCGCCTACAAACACAGCCTTTCCAATGCTTGAATCTGAAATGAGAAAAACAGATATAAGAAGAACTGTCTGTTGATGCTACTGCAATGGTACCAAAGCATACATGGATTCCATCACAACCTGCTTTAATTAGACAATAGCACACTGTTGAGAAGATTAATTAGTTGAGAGAAATT